AAAGTGAGAAAAAATCGAGAACATAGGAGGAGCAAAGTGGGGTTGTATGCATGCATTCTATGGCATCCATATTATTTCTTTCTTTCTTTCTTTCTCTTTGGAAATATATAGTTCTTCTTCTGGTTGGTGTTGTTGGGAGTTAAGCTCGTGAGCTACCTCGATGGCTGCCTGCCTTTCTTCCTTTCCTGCCCGTCTGCCTGACCGTTCGGCTGACTGGTTGCTTGCTTGCTTGCTTGCTTGCTTGCTTGCTTGCTTGCTTGCTTGCTTGCTTGCTTGCTTGCTCGCCTGGCTGACTGCTTCGACTCTCGATTACTTGAAAAACCGGATTCCTCCTGCGCGAAACTGTGTTTCCCGTCTTGTGTTTATATGTACCAGTGCGCACTAACAGGGAACAATATTGGGCTTATGGTGATACACGTGTGTAGAAACGATCATTCCCTTTTCTCATCGTTTCCCTTTTTACGTCACAAGATTACTTTGTTTTATTTCTCTTATTTTATTCGTTGATAAGGGAAAGAGATTCCTTACTTTTGGAAAATTTGTCTGGTGACAGTTTTGTTCGCTTTTTTCTCGGAATGGTGATTATAATGATTTATGTAAATGTTTCTTTGAAAATATCGAACTTATGACGATGCATTTCCCGTTTTACATTTTTGTTCTTTTATTTATCGAAACGAAAAGGATTCCTAACTTTTATAAATTAGTCGAATGACATATTAGTTTGTTCTTTATAATATTATTTAATCGTCTGGATATATATTTCTTTGACAATAAAGTATATGAAAATGACATGTTGGATATGTAAATGGATAAAAGATAAAAGATAGAAGCAGGATTTATTCGTCGGTTGATAAGAACAATGGGCGAAAGTTTGTGAGAGTTAGGCATACACCAAGGTTCAACAGACAGTTGTTTTAAGTGTATAAAACGTACGTACGTAGGCCCAGCGACAAAGGGCAGATCTTCCAAATAATTTCACGTAGAACTGATGTGAGAGTAAGATCAACCGACCGGAAGAGGATTCATTTTTCTTTGTAAACGGAGAAATACTCGAGTGGGTGGAAAAAGAGAAAAAGAGAGAGAGAAAAAGAGAGAGAGAGAGAAAGAGAAAGAGAAACGAAGAGAAATAAAAGAAAGAAAGAAAAAATACAATCAAAAAAAGAGAACTAAGAAAGAATGAAATTGTTTTGATGAAAGGAAACATCCAGACTATGAGTTAAAAGATCTTCCCTTAACCTTAGGCTAAATAGTTTAATTTCGTAGGGATTAATTATAGGAAATTAACTAAACAAACTTAATGAACAATTTATTTTTCCGTTTATGTATTACTTTCTCGACGCTTTACTAATTACTTGAATTATTAATCTGAACTGTTTAAAAATCAATCAAATCTTGGTTAATCCCAATAGTCACGAAAAAATAAAATATATATCTTTTGACCCAGATACTTTCATGTAGGAAATGTATATGCTGCATACCTGTTATTTGTCAAGATAAAATCGATAAGAAATAATTCCGAGGTCGAAGTCGATTCGCAAGCTTCGACAATGAAGCCTTCGGAGTCAAGGATGTAATTTAAAAAGGCCACTTCATTCCGGCACTTATCCTCGCCGTGTAGAAAAGTCCGTGTTCGAGATGCATAACAAATTTCACTGGTGTCTTCGCCCTCCATTCATCCGTTCGTCTTATGAAGGAAGAAGGAAGAAGAAGAAGAAAGAGAGACGTGACGAGGCTATGGAAGGAGGAGGAGGAGGTGAAGGTGGTGTTGGTGGTGAAGGAGGAGAAGGAGAACAAGAAAAAGAAGAAGAAGAAAATAGCCGGCTCTCATTTAGCCTGGCAATTTATTCTCGCGTTTTGTAATTAACACCAGAAAAGAAGTTGCGAAGTCGTTCTTCTCCTACAGGCATGATTCGAAGTATTCATTCTTTTGTTCTTCTCTCTCTCTCTCTCTCTCTCTCTCTCTCTCTTATTCTTATTATTCATTACATTCTCATATTTTCTTTATTTTATCTTTTTTTATCGATACACGTGTTATGATATTACGTTAATAAATTTACAAAAAAAAATAAAACATGAAATTGTCAATTAGGAAGATTATTTTTTTTTGGATTGTGTCAAAAACAGCTGTTTTGGAAATAAATGAAAAGTATTATTCAGAACTTTGATAGTTATATACTTGTATGTATAAAATACGGAAGAATATGAAAGGAAAAACAAGATGGAGACTACAACGAAGATGACAACGAAGAAGAAACGTAAAAGAGGATGAGATATAAGAAGGAGAAGGAGAAGGAGAAGAAGAAGAAGAAGAAGAAGAAGAGAAGGGAAGAGAAAGAAGCATGGAAGGAAGAAGAAGAAGCGACGATGATGGAGGCCTCTCCTCTGCATGCCACTGCAGTCAGCTCAGACTGAAAGCGGTCCGTATAATTATGGGTTGTCACCTCATCAGCTGAGGGAGGGGCAAGGAGTTGCTTGCGGTGTGCTGTGCTGTGTTATAGCATGGTATGGTGTGGTGTGGTTTTCTGTAGTGTTCTCGGAGTGGGAGAAAAAAGCTAAGCTAGAGGAAGGGCAGTCTTTAACCTTAAATTGTACTTTATAGTTTTGTTTTATCGACAAAAATCGATTTGTCATTTTTTCCAATGTGATTTCGTGAAAAAGATCTTCATCCAACGAATATATCGTATGGTTGATAGAAAAAAAAGAAACAAATGTACAAAAAGTTGGTATAGTTTAGAGTAACAATAGAGGTACGTGTATATGTATATATTATGGTTAAAGAAGAAGAAAAGAGAAAAGAAGAGGATAGAGAAAGAGAGAGAGAGAGAGAGAGAGAGAGTACCGCGGTTAAGTGGAGAGTTTAGAGGAGTTTCATTAAATCATATGGATTGGGGATAATGTATGTTATTGAGCGGAGCGTCCAAATCACGCTCTATAAGTTGTAATAAGTCCAATTTTGGGGCCGGTCATGGGCCGGATCCCACAGTGGTTGTCAAAGCTATCGCAACTTCCTTGGAGTTACTTTAAAGAGACGGCTTTGGATTAATGGCAGTCACTGAACAACGAAACCGCCACTTACTCGTCAAACGGCCAGCCGGTCCGCCGAAATCACTGCCATTTAGATAATTTGTAATGAATAGGCACCTCCAACTCTCTCTTTCTCTCTCTTTTCTTCTTCATCTTCTTCTTCTTCTTCTTCATCATCTTTTTCTTCTTCTTCTTCTTCTTCTTCTGTATTGCATATCATCTTTTCTTTCTCTTCCCTCTCTCCTTGTTTCTTGAAAACACTTCGTTCTTGTAGTATCTTCCTCCTTTTCGCACGAATTATTTCGACCGAGAGGAGAGGCCGTGACCTTAAAATGACAAAAGTTTCACCTGTCTAATATTTCATCGACCATTTCGGTTATTCTTTTCTCTACCACCCTTTTTCTCGGAAGGATTGCTACTTTTATTTTTTCCTATGGTCGATCAACGAACCTAAATCTAAACGAGGTAATCAAGAAAAGATTTGGAAAGATTTCTTACCAAAAATTAGCGAGGAATGTTAAACGTACATCAAATGATTGTTCTTTCAGGTTGAGAATTTGTACAGAAAAAAAAAGCAAATAAAAATCATCTCCCTTTTTAATGCAAGCTTTTTTTTTATCGAAGTTGACAATAATTTATATCCTACAACGAATGATATAATATTTGATAGAAAATGTTATGCAGTGTTGTAAAAAGGGAAAAAATGTAAAAGGAAAATGTGTTTCGTTGATAGCAGTTATGCGCTTATAAACGAGAAACTTATCGGTGGCACGCGTCGCCGCAACAAATGACGATGGCGTATACCACGATGCCGATCTTTTACGCCTTCAAGTTGGGGACAACGGGACAAACGGGGTTGAATCGTGGCGTCGAAGGTTTCAGCCCATCAATCAAAATACGTGACCGTGCATGTATTATCGTTTTACTCACTTCCCCCCCCCCCCCGCCCCAACCACAACCCTCTCGCCTAACTCCAACGAATCTTCTTTCGTCCCTTAAAAAAAAATCGAAATCCGTATAATACTCGTAAGAATAGTAATGACTTTCTCTCTCTTCTGAAAATTTGACTTCTCGATATGGAAATAAATGTAATATCAACGATAGATATTTTTAAAGATCACGAAAAAAAGGAAATAAACCGTACCGTAATATAAAGAGATAACGAAAGGGAAAAAAATGTTTATAACCGGAAGAATAAATTCTTAGAAAATGATTATTGTCGAGTAGTCGAAAATTGTTATTCGTCTGGAGGCCACGTAAATCCATCACGAGTAGCCCATTAAGTCGATGCGCAAACACGCGCGCAAGAGGACGAGAACGAGGACGAGGACGAGGACGAGGACGAGGACGAGGACGAGGTTGAGTTTGAGGTTGAGTTTGAGGTTGAGGTTGAGGTTGAGGTTGAGGACGAGGACGAGATCGCAAACGCAAATCAACGAGCAGATTATATGCAGAGAGCTGCCGTTGCGCTAGCCGTTGTGATTGATATTTGGTTAAGCGGCCGGCGATCCATCAAGCCTACGAAAGCGCTCTTTATCCGAGGCTTGCCACGAGCTTCACGTCTCGCCTGATTTCACTGAAATCCGGATACCCTTGCACCCTTCTACCTTGTCCCTCTCTCCCTTCGTCTTTTTTACCCTCAGTTATACTACCTTCCATTTTTCTTTTTTCTATTCATAGACTGAAGTACTAGAATTCGATATAAATAATATTGGTTATAAAAAAAAAAATATCGATATCTGACCCTGATAAAACTCTAAGTTTATTATAAATACTTACGAATTATTATTTATATCGTAAAAAGAGAGTATTTTATGAAATATTCATCGAATAAATAAATATATTTTGTTTATGTTAATGGTCTATTCTATCGTATAATATATAATAAAAGTTCGGTTAATTTAAGGACCAAGTAGTTTTAAATTCAGAAAACAAAGGATAGGACAGTTATTTCATTATTTGTTTTCTGTTCACAGATGTACCAAGGATGGAAAAGTCACCGCTTTTGGCGAACGGCTATAATCATCCACCCACACACCTCAGTCATATGCAATTCATGCAGTTGGGAGGACACCCAGGTGCAGGACACACAGCCATACTCTCACCAGCAAGTCTGCCCCATCATCTTCAAGCACAGGCTCAGGCTCGTGCCGAACAAGGTCTCAAGGTTAACCCAAATATGACCAACATCGAAGCACTCGCGAGGTCAGTTTTATTTCAATATCATTTCTCTATATATATTTATATATGTTTTTATTAAATATATATCTATAAATATAATTTAGAGGATTATACTCGAGAATGGTCTCGATAATCCTCCATTTGTGAATTTAATAAAACTTGGTCGTTTTGCATGTTATGTGTGTGAGGAATCGATGTCTCATTGGTGTTATTATATTTCTCGTTAGAGAAAGATTTTTCGTTCGGATCCAAGCTCACGTGGTGTTTTTAAGGGGATTAAAATGTTATCGTGTATGGGACGAGAGGAAGATGTTATCGTGACACTATAGGCGATATTTCGGAAGCGACGACTGTGTCCCAGCGGGAAACATTTTCATTAACATCGGTTAGGATTTTACGAGCCACCTGAGTACGTTGTTTGTGCGTGTGTGAATACAAAAAAAAGAGATAAAGAGAAAAGAATGAAACAAGAAAATCATTTCATGGTCGATCATATTCTTTCGTATTATTATTATTATTATTATTATTATTTTATTAAACCCCTTATCTCTGTCTATTAAACTTTGCATACAATTTTCGCTTTTTACGGGCTAATAATCATCCAATAATAATAATAATTAATTATTTATTTTTTTTTTTTACGATTAAAAAATTGTTTTAAATCAATCATAAGTGTATTCAAAAAGTTGGATTAAAATTGTTTAGTTGAAAAGAAGACAAAAAAAATGATAGAATAGAAATTGGATTGATTTGTTTTAACTTTCTTCCACAATAGAACTCCATTCCCCTCCTACCCCGAGAAAAGACGCGTTCGCGTTGTTGGGACTGTCGCGATCTTACAAGAGGGGCTGGCGAGGCCAAAAGAATACAACTTTAAGAGGATTTGAAGAGACGGCGAAGCCGTGGAAATCCAAGGGGTCTCGACACCGCTTGATCTCTCTGTCTCTCTTTCCTTATTTCTTCCAAGAACGTCTTCTCTCACTTTCTTAACATTCTTATTCTCCTTTCACGTTCATTTGAAGATTTCTTGTCTCTTTAACAACACGATCTGATTCAGGTGAAATCAACTCTTTTTTCCTTCTCTATTTCACTTTTAAATCCGATGAACTTTGACCGGGGAATAAATTGTTACAATAAGTTCTATTAGTACTTGCGAAAATAAATAAATATTATACTTCATTTAAATAATCATTTTCCATTAATACATTATTGCAATGAAAATATGATTTTATCAATAATATTATTACAAGTTAAACATTGATATTTTATTACAAATATTTCCTACCTTTTTTCAAATTAATGACAATATACAAAATTGTATATAGAATAAAATTAAAAATGAAGAAATGTTAATTGAAGTACATTTAGTTGGAGCTTTGATATAGTTCAAAGTTGTTAATCTTTGGTACGTTACGGTCTCAAGACGAATATCGTAGCTTATTCGATCTAAACGGAAGAGGAAGAAGATATCGCGAGACGCGCGAAAGCCGAAGGACGAAATCCTGTGTAGATACGTCGCGTCGATCCTAAGGGCGCTTGCTCAAGGGGTTTCTAAAGGTGATACTAATCCCAGCATTTGTTAACGCGTTTCTAATAGATCCGAGCCACCCTTTTCCTTTCTCTCTCTCTCTCTCTCTCTCTCTCTCTCTCTCTTTCTCTTTCTCCCTTTCTTTATTTCGTTCTATCTCACTAGTAAGCTTTAGAGCTTTCAAGATTCGCCTTAATTTTCGATTACATTCGCTTACTATCCCTAATTAACTTCAAATTATGCCCAAACATTTTACCACCGCTCATTTTTTTATCATTCCTTATGGTTAGATGATGAAAATATGTTTTCTCATTTTTTAAACGATCATATTTCTATTCATTCCTCCCACGTTTCATTTAATTACGTTGAAACATATTTTTGTTGAAATAAAAAATAAAAAGAAATAAAGCAAATGATAAAATGTTTGAAAAGAAGATCATTCAGATGTTCTTCTTGATCGTTCTTGTACATAGGCCTCGGTTAACGTAACGAAGGCGACGTCGTGAGTTTCGCATTATGATTTCAGCGCTTTGCTTTTAATTAAAATGCAAATCTATCGCAGAACGAGTAAGAGAGATAGATAGAGAGAGAGAGAGAGAGAGAAAGAGAGAGAAAGAGAGAGAAAGAGAGAGAAGGATAGATAGAAAGAGACAGAGATCAGGAGGTAAGACGGATTACGTCTGGGGGCGGCACGACAAACACCGGAATATGATTAATTCAACGCAACCCTATCGTGAAATAACCTATACTATCACACACACACACACACATACGTGTATATGTATATACACTTATACACATCGTAACAAGTTGAAGCTTCTCCTATCGTTGTCCTCGGACTCCTCTTCTCGTCCTCCTCATCCTCCGTGTTTCGTCACCTTTTACTTCGTATCCTCTTCTACCAGTTTCAACGGAGAGTTTCGACGCACGTCCTCCCATCTGTCCATTCGCCTTCAACCTTTACCCCCCTTAGAACAGCCTTCCTATAAACCCTTCCAATGCTATCCATTTTCCTGCGAATAAATACACACGACGCTCGTAGGGTTAAATATTTTTGCGAAGGATGTTGGGATTCTTCGAGGATTGATTTGTTTTGGGTTTTAACCCGAATTGAGATAATAGGAGAATAGTATTATTTATGATGAAAAATATCAAAGAGAAAGGGGGAAAAATAATTGGAAGAATGTGTATCTTAAATGAAAGATCGTATTTAACTCGTCGAAATAATTATAGCAACGATTTTTATGGGTTCGGTTTTACGTATCGAAATGATTGTATAATAGTTTCAAATTAAAGGCAAATTTTTTGGATTTTTCTTGTTAAAATGTGTTTCGTTTATGTGGTTCATCCGCAAATATTATAGCAAGTAATATGGTATCTTTTTGTAACCATGTTTTTTCTCATTAGCCGTATCTCTTCATTGACTTGAACTACGAGTCGTTAGGGATTGGAATTAGGTTCGTTTCTTCGTGGAAGAGACTGACGTCTCTTTTAATCAACGTACTTCAAAGCACCAACGGGCCAATTCGTGCTGGCACAGAGTCGGTCAACTCTGTGAATCAGGAAAAAAAAATATAAAATAAAATAAAATATCTATCTCTTAAAAATTAGGTGGTACGTCGAAAATCTTCCTCCTCCTTCCCTTTCCTTCTTCTTTAACTTTTTCTTTTTCTTGAAACTCTTTCCTCTCTTGATCAAGAACTTTTTGATCAAGAAAAATCCAATTCCGTTTGTGGAGAAATATTGTCACTAAAGTTTTTTCTGTTTTATCCTGTTTTACCTGAAGTATTGCGTTTTGTGTTCCACAGGTCCGGGACGGTATGGGAAAACTGCAGAGCTGCCTATGAAGACATTGTCAAACACCTTGAAAGGTAGGATTAGAAACAAATAGTCTTTATCGGAGAAAATCGATTATCGAAGAAGAAAGGAGAAAAATTTGAAGGAAAAATAATTCACCGGATATCCCAGTAAGAATAATGTAAAATCAGGATCAGTTTAACGAGACGATTTATAAGTCGAGTGTTATCGATTTCGATGAATGTTTTCGATCTATGCACAATCCCGGAATATAAAAGAAAGAAAAAAAGGGTTCGTTACTTTGGAAGATCCCCTAAACGTCGAATCGCGTGTCCCTGAATCGCGTATGCGTTGTGCATCACCCGTTGCATACCAACCCGTTGCACTTCCGATAAATCAGTATTACCGTGAAGCGTCGAGTTTCCGGTCGCACGACAGGTTGAGTCCTGAGGCCTGACGCGGTAATGCCAACATGATTTGTACGGTTCGAGGTTCTCTCTATCCCTCTCTCTACACATCCCCTGAAACTACACACCCCTCTTTCCTTCGGTCTGGATGGAAAGCACAAGCGAGAGTCACCGATATAGCAAATACCAATAGAGAACCGCGAGTTGGTCCTGATGGTAACGTTGCGCACACGAACCCAACCACACAGAGCCAGGATGTTTCCCCGTGATCCTAACCACTTGTCACTTCACGGCACGCAGATCATCGTCGCGACGTGAACGTCCATCATTCGGGGATTAAATCATTCGGTTGGCCTCGAAACACTCTCATCGACCGTTCGGCAATTTTCTCTTCGAGGCGAAAGGGTTCGCGTTAAAACCTCCACTAAGCCGATTTCCCTTTTATCTTAAGAACAAGTAATAGTAGTTGTAGGAGTAGTAGTAGTAGTAATCATTGATGGTTGAGGGACTTAGGTGTTTTTGCAACAAGACATTGAACGAATAAGAATCTTTGGAAATGAAAATGTTTCTCTTTGAGTTAGAGTTTGAATTTCGATAGAGGGTTGCGATTCAAATAGATCGTTAAAACCAGCTTGGAAAATCGGCACGCTGGAAACGTCATTTCCAATTCAAAGGTAATGACCACTGTGTGTCCAGTCTCTTTCTCTTTCTCTTTCTCTGTCTCTTTCTCTGTCTCTTTCTCTGTCTCTTTTTCTCTGTTTCGTCAGGCCCGTGGCGATAGCCCTCGCATTCTATTTGCTTTAACAGCCGCCCAACGTTGACTTCGTCAACCGGACAAACGCGTATTGTGATTTCGGGCCTTTGACTGGTAGCCCCGACGTTCGATGGATATCGCAGGGGGTGGTAAATGGACGAGGAGGCACGGAGGAGGAAGCGTTGGCGTATATGGCAAGCGGGTAGGGTGGGGGTGGTGGATCGACGGCCGGTTTGAGGCAAACGGAGGACCGAAGGGTGGCTCGAAGGGACGGACAAGCGAGAGAGCAGCCGTGAATATTCATGCCGAGAACCCTAGACGAATTCGGACTTGTTGCGACTGACACTGATGTAAACCTTTGTTTATTCTGCGTCCTCTCACCCCTTTCGAGCTTTCTCTTTCCCTCCCCTTCTTCGACTGGACCAAGAGAGTGGAAAAGAGAGAGAGAGAGAGAGGGAGAAGGAAAGAGGCTACGTGCACGAAACGAACCCCCCGAGTATTTAACTGAGAGTTAAATTCTGATTAATCGCCGGCAACGCCGTTATTAATTGTTTGTCCTTTTGATTTTACAAGCACGGAGAAGAGAAAGAAAGAGAGAGAGGGAGAGAGAGAGAGAGAGAGTTGCTGGCACAGCTTGCCCGTTCTCCTTCGACCGACCAACTCTTTCTCTCTTTATTTCTCATCCTTTCTCACTTTCTCTTCATCTTTCTCTTATACTCTTTCTCTTTCGACTGTTATCCCACGTCGAGTCTAATCCAAGCAGTTTATACGTGACAAACGTTTTACTCGACAGAAGGTTTCCTTTTCTCTTCATGGAAGAGTTATATCACTCGTTTATCTTTTTCCTTTGGCAACGTTTAAAATAAAACCGACAAATTTCATACGTTGGTGGTTTATTATTTCTCTCAAATAAACTCGAACCGTTGATTTTCTTTATTTTATCGTAATAGGGTAATTATAGTTTATAGAATATTTCTTTATCATTCTGATTACATCTACTTAGATGTGTTATGTTTGACACACTCGACTACGCATAGAAAAGGATTGGGAACGTTAATCGAGGCGAAGTAAAAACTTGACTACGGAGAATCGCGACATCATCATCGATTTCCCAATTTAGCTCGTTAAGCCCGGCCGGCATGGCAGCTTGGGTACGGTGACAATGGGTGGCTCTAGCTGGGTGGCTGCTGGCCTCCCGGGAGAAGTGCGTCCAGAGAGAGAGAGAGAGAGAGACAAAGAGAGAAAGAGAGGGTACGCGCGAGATAATAATCTGATTCTGCGGTAAACTCGCGAATACGCGGAGCTACGAGCCCCGGATAGAAGCGGCCGGTTAAAACGCGAGCGACCCTCCGACCAACGCAAACCTATTTCTCTCTCTCATATATACACACACACTCTCGCTCACTTTGTATTATACAGAAAGAGACTATATGTTCAGAGAGAGAGAGAGAGAGAGAGAGAGAGAGAAAATTCAGCCTGTAAAGTAAGTAATATTAATGGTCCCCCAGAACGTTCTGGTATCAATGCGCTAATGTTGGCTTCCTGGCTTTAAAACTACCGAGTCATTCTAGCATAATTCAAAGCGCATTGTCGTTCTTCTCCATCCAACATCAACGTCGACTTGCCATCGGTTTCACCGAGCTGGATTTTCTTATCACCGAACCAACCCTCTTGCCAAATTCTATCCCTTCCACTTCTTCTTTTTCTTTTCTTCTCTTTTACGTTATTTCTTTCTTTCTTTCTTTCTCAAGGTTTCCCATATCTTCTATCTTTCTCTTTCTCTTAACGATCGCAACCCCAGCTATGAAACTCACTCTTTCTTTCTCTCTCTCTCTCTCTCTGTTTCTCTTCTTCGGGCAAGCGTCATTAATTACCAGAACGACGTCGTCGGCGACGTCGACGAGCTCCTATCGTCCGGGACATCTGCTGGAAAATAATATTCATAAAGTTGAGCCTCCTCGTTATGGGCGATTCGTGCTACGTGCTCGTTTCCTCAATCCCTCTTTCTCACTCCTCCTCCTCCTCTCTGCGGTTCCTTGCTGCTTTCATGAATTCGACGAAAACGTTCGTTAATTTCGACCGTCTTATCCTTTTCCACAGAATCACACCCTGATCATTATACCAAAAAAAAAAAAACAAAAAGAAAAAATCCATCATTCTCTCTCTCTTTCTCTCGTCCTAATCTTCTTAATTGATACACTCATCGTTCCAGTTACATGTATTTATTATTTTAATTACACGTTTTATACGTCCTATAGCTATGCCTTGTTTCTTTTTTCTTTTTTTTCGTTCTTTTTTTTTTCTTTTATGGCATTATTAGGAAGAGAATCAAAGAATAATAAGAGAAACAGTTAATTTCATTTGGCGATCTGTTATGCGATAGCGAGACTTATGAGGCGTCGACTATGAATAAGGATGGTTGTGGTAGGGAGGAGGAGGAAGAGGGTGGGAAGGAGAGACGCTAATTGCACTCAAACGAACTGTCAGCGCCTTGGCACGCACACCATGCCCTGATGTATTTATGTCTCGCAGACGTTGACGCGAGTCCCGCTGCGTTACACCATCCTCTCTGCTCAAGTACTTACTATAGTACAACATAGGTTCGCAGCTTACGTGCGTGTAATTACCACACGTTACGATTAACGCCTTGAGAAACACGTTCGTCTTCATATCGTCGATTGATAACCATTGTGTTTATGATAATTCGTTTGTTTTTGCGTGCACCTCGAGAAATCGTGGAAACTTTTGTTCCTCATTTTATTCTTTTTTCTTCGACTTATTTGATAATTCGAATTTATTTCTTTTTTTGTAAATTATATCAGAGTAATCGTTGGAACTAAAATAAAATAAAATGAAGGTTACGAAGATGATGTGTTAATTAATCGATTATATTATTCGTTTATTTATTCGACGCGTGAGATAGAATTTTGTAAAATAAATATAGGATACAGCGAGCTCAAGTATTTTGTACATTCTTTGATCGAACATCTTCGTGATCTAGTTTTGGAGTTAAAAGATTTCGGACGAAGGACAATTAAGTTAAAAAAAAAAAGAATGATTTACTCGATATGTTAAAATAAAATAAGATTAGGGTTCGCGTGAGTTTAATTCTCGAGTCGATAACGATCGAGAGATTTCGCTCAGACAAAAATAGTTGATCCAACGTGACAAAAAGGGACCATCCTTGGAAACATACTAACGCGGCTCCATCGGTCCTTTCTACGAATCGATTATGTGAAACCCATGCATCGAGAAGAAAGGAGGTTCGATCGCAAAATTCGCGATTAACTAAAGCTTTTTCGAAAGTAGTTCTCGTGTTACGTCACACACACACATGTATTACGTCGCACAAGCCTAAACGTTCTACTTTGAAAATATCTTTATACATAATTTATATACGTATATAGGTATATATATCCTTTTTCGAGGAATATACGAAAGGATCGTGCGTTTTGATCGACGCCTCGAAACGATTTCGATCCTTCTTGATCATCTTTATCCTTTTTTCATTTTATTCTTTTATTTTTGTCTTCATCTCTTCTCTGATTCTTTTAACCTTTAACTTCATACTCTATATTATAATATATAAAAATAGAAATAGAAATAGAAA